GTTTAGTTTTTGAGTTATAAGGCTGCCAATATCACAGCTGAACGTATGAAAGAGTAGGTATCTACTCCAATATAACAGTTGTTTTGATCATCTTGAAACAAGATACTTACTAAGAGATGCCAAATTTTGATATGAGTGCGTTTGTGCACTGTGCGTGAGTTCGGCGTGCTTATATATCACGTCACTAATCATCAAAAACAGTCAGTTATAAAGCGATGAATTGATGCAGCTACTGAAGAATGCCCGCGACCAGACAATTCAGCTATCCAGTAGATCTCCGTTGCCTTAGATGATATTGCACTTTCGTCACAGAAATGCTCATCTGAGGACGACGAAGTCACCAATAACTGAATCAATGATGATGCAACTAGTGAAGAATGCCGATGGTTACAATTCTGTTTCTTGACGCCTTGTCTATTTAAAGGTCTTTTAAACAGACAACGAACAATAAATAAAAAGTCTGTTATTTCGTGTCCATCTTTTGTAGACCTGTTTTAAACACATGTATACATACGATTATATTACATTATCTGAGACTACTCCAAAATATTGCATTATTAGGAATATCGCAACATTTTACAATTGTTCCAGAATATTATATCTTTTTGCAACACTGATGACCTAACAAGAAAATCTGAGATTTTATCTCACTTATACGTGAAATGTGAGAGACAGCTGTTTGCTTCTCACCATTCTAAACAGTACTTATTAAACAGTGGATTTAATATCNGTAGAGTTATTATGACGTAAAATGTATTATAATCCTTATTCCATCGGTGCACGCGGCGCCTTGCGAAGATTTTTTCCGGAATTTAAGGTTAAGTATAAACCCTAGGTTGTGGATTTAATATCATATTTTCAGTGTAAGTTTAACAAATATTTGTATTGCTTGACATGAAGATCCTGATACTGTTCTTGTTAGTTTCGCTGGTAGCCACTCAATGTCACATATGTCTGCCTCATCAAGGTTGTTGCATGGGTCACATGCATGGTCAATGGTCATGCTGCGGTCCACATTTAGCTGCCGTTGCTGCTACTGATGCTGCACCATGGAATTTCAAAATGGACATTAATTACGATGCTTACGTATGGGATTGTAGTCCATCGACGAATTATCCAGATCAGTTGTATACGAATGTTTCATGCCTGTTAACAGGTAGTTGGTCATTAGATAGAATCACCTTTCAACTAACAGCAATTCCTGCGAATTTACCAGCATTGATGGCTACGTATACGATGAAAAATCAAAAACCAGAAACCGTGATGTTTTCAGCTGAGGGAAATTGGGCTGCGACAGTGCCAGTTAATCGAAATTCAAATCCGGGCTCGTACAATATCAATGATAAATTAGAGTTCTCATATGGTGGTCGCAACTACACACATTATTTTGGTTATGGTACGAATCCTCATTGTCCAAGATGTTAATACATTTGAAAAAAATATTGTGTTTTTTATCTAAAAGCTTATATTGATAGAAAATTATCTTCTACAAGCCTGTCAATTTTTGATTATAAACTTACATATTTATTGTGAAGAAAGTTGGGGCTAACGAAATTTCTAAAAAATATTGATTTCGCCGGACTATCAACCGCTCTACAACTACTTCTTTTTCTTCTTGCCAACGCGTATCAGGGCTGATATTGGGTTTGTGCAACACTGTCTCACTATTAACCTTCTCATTTT